AGAGAGAGAGAGAGAGAGAGAGAGAGAGAGAGAGAGAGAGAGAGAGAGAGAGAGAGAGAGAAGAAAAGTTCAGTGGCCGCCAAGTTAACCAAACCAGAGACAGAGACAAACCCCAAATATCTTCTGCCTGATTATCTGCATTCCTGCTGAGGGAACTCAGCCTCAGCAGCATATCACAGATGTGCAACGACAAACAAATAATGTTTAGAAACTGCAGCAGGAACGTAAAGAACAAGATCATGGATAAACGTGGATTTATATATTCCAGCTGTTTCTGCTGAGGAGTTCCTGAGTCTATTTTCAAACTCTGGTTTTTAGATCGCCAATTTGTRTTCTGTATCGAACTGTTCAAAACTAACATTTTAATGAAAACCTTGCCACCAGATTCCAGTTGTGTGACATAAACACAGAGCTCTTCAGACGTGGATCAGAACTGCAGTTTAATAACKGAACAGTCTGTCTGAGCAACACTCGAGATGTTTGCTTTCATACGGCTGAGTATCCCAACATAAGCATGGCCAGAGGCTAACGGGACAGAGAGGAGGAAGAGGGAGGACCAATGGGAAGGCAAGGTCAGCAGAACAAAAAACAGATGCAAGCAGATGTGGAGTAAAAAGAAAAAAAAAAATAACATCTGGTAGAAAACGCAAAGCCAATGCCCCACACACGCTCACTTTAACCTCAGATTCCTTTCTTTTGTCTTTTATATTTTTGGACGGCAGCAAAACAGGAAGCATCGTTTACAGTTTGTAGGGCAGTGTTAAAAGCTAACACCTGAGACCACCTGCCACTCAAAACAAGCAGGAAACTTGAGGACACCCTCAGTGACCTGGACTGAACTTGCTATTTCAAAACTACGCAGGCGGACACATCCATCTGAAAGGTAGAGGCCACATTAATTGTTTTTAATGGTCTGAGTTTATGTCCTGATGCATCTCAGTAATCCAGGTAGAAAAAATCAAAAAGAAAAAATAAGTAGGTCCTCTGGATGGGTTCTTCTTTAGTGAAACCTTCTTCTTTAGTGAAATAGGCCAATCAAGCCTATTGTTGGGCGATGGTCCTCTTCTGCATGTGACTAACCTGTTTGTCCATGTGGAGGCAGTGCTTATGAGTTCACCTGAAACTCATCAGACTGAAGAAGTCTCTTGGAGGAGAGACGAAACGTTTCACTAAAGAAGAACCCGTCCAGAGGACCTACTTTTTTTTGGTTTAAGTTTATGTTTTATTCTATATTTCCACTCTCTTTGATCATTTTGTAACGTGCTACTGACCTCTTGGTCTGCTCACACTTGGAAAAGCCATCTTATCTGATTAAATTAAAGTGATTGTTTCAGCAAATGTGCAGCTGACAATAAAACATGGTGAGAGCAGGGGAGAGCGTCTGAAGGATGTGTAAACAATGTAAAGTGTAGCACAGCTGCTAACTGGTGTGAAWAAAAGGTGTAGCAAAAGGAGCAAAACATTTGTCACCTTCAAGATCCCTGTGTGTAGGAGGCTGGATTTCAGCTTTATTCAGATAACAGGTTAACACGTTAGATATAGTGTAAAGAATGTAAAATGAAAATCTTTGATAAAATGATTGAGTCCTGGTCCGTTCTCCATGGCAAAGATTTTTAAAAACCTGTGATTTTCATGTCACTTGTGAACCATCAGAGTTTCTTTGAGCCAGCAGCCGTAGGACTCACCAGTTTGTAATCCTTGTGCAGCTTGTTGTACTGAAACATGTTGCAGAGGACGGTTGAGGCCGCTCTGGCAGCTTTCAGACTCCCTGAGCTGAACCAGGAGACATTATAGATCATTAGAAACAAGTAAGAGAACTAACAAGGAGGAAATACCAGAGCTCAAACAGAAGGGAGAAGATCACTGTAAATGACCTCCTAAATTAAAAAAAAAAAAACATTTTTGTGTGTTCAGTGACCGAGYGGAGAGCTATAAAAATAAACAGAAAAAAAGGAGCTAAGAAATAACAGCTTTGTTAAAACTGGAACACTAAAGACAATAAAATAATTACAAACAACTCAAAAATTAATGCTTTGGTGCCTTTTGTTTAAACATCAATCATCTTCTCTGGACCTCCTGCAGTCAGCACTACCTGTTATCGTGGGACATCTTGATGCCCACCAGCTTTGGAATACCGTTGAAGTAGGCAATGTCTCGGGCTGCCAGGGAGCTGCAGGTGACCAGGTGATTGAGGGCCCCGCAGATGTTGACTACCACCTCACTGGACGGGGTCTTCTGAAGACCATCACTGGGCAGCATGGACACCAGAACGTTCACCATGCTTTTAGCTGCCAGGAAAAAGGAACGGCAGATAAATGATTCAGATGCACAACAGTTAAGAGGGGCTTTCATTTTCCGGTGAAGGACCTGTCGTACCCATGTGATCTTTGTTTGTGGCGTGCCGGGCCAGGTTCCTCAGCAGGCCGGTCAGAGGCCTCAGCTGCATCTCACTGCTGGTATCCAAAAGATCCAGCAGGATGGGCAGCATCCTCTCCTGCTCCATCACCACAACACTCAACACTGAGGACCACTGSCACAAGAAAACAGAGATTATGTTGGGTGAAGAATATACTATGTAGGCACTTTAAATGAAAAAACAATAAAAAAAATCTAATTTAAATAAGATGTAATTGAGAGTATTAAAAATCTGGAGCAGATTCATTTTCYTGACGTGTGAGCTTACCCGGGCTTCTCCCACCGTGATATTCTGCAGCGCTCCCAGAGCAGCTTCGCGCGTGGTTAAACTGTTGCTGCTGCTCTGCAGAACCAGCTTGTACAGCGACACCACCTTAGGGTGCCACAGCCACTCGGACCCTTTAGGTTGGGCGAGCGTGTGCAGATTCTGGTAACGCTGCTGCTGAAAAGGGGGGAAACAGACGRGGTCACGTACGCACACAACCAAACATCCAACGTCTCCCCGCAGGTCTATCGCCTGTCGTCACCTCGTTGTTTTTCTTGCTGTGCAGCGTAAAGCAGCCGATGGTGTTGCTGTCTTTGGAGGCGGAGGCTCTGGATGGGCCCTCCAGGTGGAGGCGGACTGAGGGGGGAAGCTCCGCGTACAGCTGGTACGACAGATTCCTCATGACACACATGGAGTTCTCCAAACCCTTAACAACAACAAAAAATAAATAAAAACAAACCAAAAGGATGTTAAAACAATAATAAATCATTGGTAATATTTTGACCAACATATAATGTAGTCTTTAACCTGCAGAACTGTTAATCTGGAAACACGTTAAGCGGGGCAAATGGAGATGTGTTCAGTTCTGCAGGTAAAGTTCAAAACTGTTTGTCAACCAGAGAAGCTAGCAGCTCAAATATTAATGATGCAACACAATAAAAACCAGTGTTAAACTTTTCAGAGACAATTTAACTCCCCCTAGTGTTATTTTGACACTTTCTGAGTAAACTGACTTCCAGTGTTGGCGCTAGTTCACAGTGACGATTTCATCAGTGTTGTCTCAACACTGGACAGTGTTAAAGAAGCCCCGCCCACTGTTAAGTCTTATATAACACTTAACAGTGTTGTTATATGACACCACGCAGTACTGAAAAAAGCATTCTGAGAAAGCCCCGCCCTCTTCCACCTCATGCMAGACAGACCAGTATTTTCTCAGCAAGGGATGCTGGGTAATCTTTTAGAAATGATGTTTTTGCACATTTATGACTATTAAAGAAGTTCAWGAGTGTWAAAWWTAGTTGTTCTAGTTGTTTTGTTCAGGTTTATCAGTTGATSAAGTTTAAGTTTGTGTTATTGGCCATTACACRTATCCAGAAATGACTGTGTAATGTTAATGCAACACTAAAATGAATTTATCTTAACTCTAAAGTGTTAAACTTACTTTCAAATTTGCTGTGTAATGACACTTCATAGTGTCTGTTTTACACCCCTCTACACAGCAAGAGTAAATAATCAACACAGTAGTGTCAAATTAACACTCATAGGAGGTATATGAACCTCCAGTGTTAACCATCAATAAGTCAACGCAGTGTTGAAAAGCAYGAGGATCAGAACTGATTTGTCACCATCTTATTAATTCTGCTTAGAATCATAATTACTCTCATTAGAGTTATTTGACTTGAAGTGTTAAGTTTTATTAACACTGAACAGTGTTAATCAGTGTTAATGTTGACACTAATTCAGATATGGACCAAACAGACTCGGACACAGTGTTACTTTTAACTCTTTAAGTGTTTATCTAACACTGCAAAATTTACTGTGAGAAGTCAAACAAAGATTCAGGAATTGAAATGCTGAGGAAAGTTAATTTAGTGGATGTTGATACTTAATACATGATAGTTCAGGCAAATGGAAATCTTTTAGAAATCCATGTATACTGTCGTGTTTAATGTCTTAACACTGGTACGTGATGTTCAGTGGATGTGGCTCAGGTTAACGCTAGGAATTTATTAAAACAAACCTTTCACAACCTTTCAGTCTCTGCCTAAACCTTTGGTCATAACTAGAGGAAATGATTAGTAGGAGCAACAGGTAATCTACCAACTAATGAAATAACTGGGCAGGGGAAAGATTTGAGAATAAAACTACTGGATGAATATTTTCTTTAATGTTTGCTGGGCTTGTTTTTTTTTAAACTCTTTAAAAAAACTCTGTAAAGATAAGGGGAGGAGCATAGATTTTGTTTATTCGTCTTATAATCCACATTTTTAAATGCAAATGTTAAACAGGGAACTCGTGTCTCCCTCTCTCTGTGGTATTTTGTCCAAAGCAGGCATAAAGTGGGTCAATGAGTGAAAAAAAGGACACAATAGACGTCTCCTTCTCCTATACTGATGGCAACAAGGAGATTCATTGTAGTGTGAAACTGAACCGGCAGCTCTCGTCAGTCACTTTCTAAACCTGATATTAAAAACATTTTAGCTTGGCCTTCACTCCTTTTCTCCAATTCATTTGGAAACACTGTTTGTCTGAGTGATAAAAGGGAAACGATCACATTCCTGTTGTCACCAGATTTTTCAGTTGCAGGGTTTGTTTTGTCGCTGCAGGTGTTTTTTCAGAGAAGAAGGATTATTTGAACTGGAAATTCTCACAAAACAAACAAAGCAAAAACAGCACCAAAATAAAATGTGACACAAGTGAGTTTTATCATGGTGAAGCAGACAGATGCAGAGCTGACTTAAAACTTTCCTTCTTTTGATAATTCTTATAATTAGGGTTGGCTACAGTTTTCCTGAAACAACCTTTTTGTTTCATTTATTCAATTA